TTGGAGAGTAATTTACCCCTACTTACAGACAGATTGCCCTACATGTGACAGCTACGTACAAAAAAGTTATAAAATTGTCCTTGGCTTTACAATGATAAATGAAAAACATTAAAATTCTCCCATCCAACAAGGTATGCAAGGATTTTTTATGTCGTTGTTTTTTGGTTTTTGTTAAGCAGTGAGAGCAAGATAACTTACTGGAATCTAAAGAGAGGAGCTGAACAAGCACATGGCGCTGATGGCGAAGGGGGTGTTTTCACAGAAGCAGGATTTTCCCATCCCATTTCCACTTGGCGTCGATCAAACTTACCATTGGCCATTTAGCCAAAAAAACCCCAAACAAACAAAAAACCCAAAAGAATAAAATAAACAAAGGGAAAATGCAGTATGCTGTGCACATGCACCAGTTACTTGATGTACAGTAAAGGAGTGGGGAAGGGGAAATGAAAGAAAGAGCAAACGATACTGTAGTCAGCAGGAGGAGGTGGAACCAAATTGTGGTTTTCTAGTAGAATGGGTTCTCTGTCGGTAAGAAGGGAGTTCTGGTGGGGAAGGAGCAAGCTCCCTCTTAGAAGACGCCTCCTGTCTGCTGCTGGAACACACCCATCGTATCTTCATCCTCCATATCCAATGGTGGTGCAGGTGTGTCTGATTCATTGACTGGCTGTCCGTCAAATCAGAATCTGATCTGTCTCATTGACAAACCCTGTTGTTCACACTAGGCTTTCATTAGTTTACTAAGTGGCGTATGTCTCTTAATCTTAAACTGCCCCACAGAACCACCCTGCCCCGCCACCTTCAAATTCATACGATCGTTGTTCTCAGTGTTGACTCCACTCCTTCCTTGGGTTCTTCCTCGGCCATGGCGAGCGCCAAAGTACCAGGTCTGCCCCAGAGGAGCACACAGGCAGCTCCACAAGCGGCAGAAGGAGGCGGCAGTCAAGGTCAGCAGTTCTAAACCATCTGCTCTGTGGGGGAAAGATGAGGCTTTCGACTTCCGTAAAGATTTAACCAAAAGCCAAATTCACTGCCCTATAGTGGTTGCCGATTCATAGTGACCCTTTCAGACAGGGCAGAACTGCTACTGTGAGCTTCCCAGACTGTAAGTGGTAACCGGAGTAAAAAGCCCTGTCTTTGTCTCGCGGGGCAGCTGGTGATTCAAACTAACCTTGCGGATCTAGCCCAACACGTAACCACTATGCCACTGTCACGCTGAGTCAGTTGACTCGGTGGCAGTGAGTTTGGTTTGGGGGTTTGGATTTTGTTTGCACTGTGCCAGTGTGATGTGGAGTTTCCCTACCTGTTTGACCAGAACTTTTGGGCAGCAAAATAAAAACAGCATCCACTGCCAAATGCAGTTGGTACAAACTGTTCAGTGGGCCCACAATGCACCCCTCCGAGGCCACTCCCTTTGGGGAAGCTGCTCTCCCACGCTTTCAACCACCAGGTTTTCTCACAGACTGCCTATCACCTAGGGGATGGTCCAGAAGGGTTTTCAGGGGCTAATTTCCAGAAATAGATTACCAGGCCTGTATGTTAGTCTGTCTTAGTCCGGCAGTTGGCCTTGAAACCTGCCCACTCTGGGCAACCCTTGCTGGCGTTTGAAATACCGGTGCAATAACTTCCAGCATTGTAAGTATTCCAATACAGCACACTGATGCCTGGGCGGTGGTGATTTATGCTGGAAATGCACAAAGATTCTTACGTCTATAAAGGCACTCACGCTGCGACGTTGACTGATTTTGGAAGTATAGAAACGGAGGCTGAAAAGTCTAGTACTTGGCAGGGTAGGGTAGCTAAATGGGGTCCTAGCTCAGGTCAATCTGCCCCCACTAACCAACCGAGACTCTTCTCCACCGTAATACGGGTTTCAGTTGAATTCTTTGGTCAGCTTGCACTTTTAGTGTCCGCTGGGCGCAGCCTACACTCTTTCTCCTGGGTTTGGGGGCGCAAAGTCCTCAAGGGCTCAGGATCCTTAGCGTTCAGGTGGGCCATC